TAAATATTATGCAGAAAATTCGGAATGTGGAAATTAGGAGAAGGTGTGGAGTTAATAAAAGTATTAGAGGGCTGAAGAGGGGTTGTTGAGGTGGTTTGGTCATTTAGAGAGAATGGATCAAAGTAGAATGACATGGAGAACGTTTAAATCTGTAGGAGAAGGAAGGCGGGGTAGGGGTCGTCCTCGAAAAGGTTGGAAGGAAGGGGTAAAGGAGGTTTTGTGGGCAAGGGGCTTGGACTTCCAGCAGGCGTGTGTGAGCGTGTTCGATAGGAGTGAATGGTATTTGGGATTTGACGAGCTGTTGGAGTGTGAGCAGGGTAATATTTAGTGAAGGGATTCAGGGAAACCGGTTATTTTCATATAGCCGGACTCGAGTCCTGGAAATGGGAAGTACAATGCCTGCACTCTAAAGGAGGGGTGTGAGATATTGGCAGTTTGGAGGGATATGTTGTGTATCTTTATATGTACATGCTTCTAAACTGTTGTGTTCTCAGCACCTCTGCAAAAACAGTGATTATGTTTGAAGTGAAAGTGTTGAATGATGATGAAAGTATTTTTTTTTTTTGGGGGGGGGGGGATTTTCTTTCTTTTTGGGTCACCCTGCCTCGGTGGGAGATGGCTGACTTGTTGAAAAAAAAAAAAAATAAATAAATAAATACAGTGGACCCTTGGTTATCGGCCAATTTGCTCATTGGCAGGTTTTTTGACTTCCGGTTATCGGCCATATGGGACACATCAACCTGCTGCCGCCAGCCGCTCACGTCAGTCTGGCTGTCTCTCTGGGTGAGTGAGGGAGCTTCTGCTCTTTCATCGAAACATTCATTGTTTTTGTCGTTACTGAGTGCAACTACGAAATAAGCAACCATGGGCCCAAATAAAGTTCCTAGTAAAGTTCTATGGTAAAGAAAGTGAGAAACATGATGGAATTTAAGAAAGAAGTTGTTGAAAAGTATGAGAGTGAAGAAGGAAGAGAGAGGGGAGACTGTGCTTTCTTCAGTGATTCTACGATATGTACGATACTAAAGCAGCCGGAGTCAATATGGGCTATAGCGCTAACCAGCAATAAAGTGTAGCATTAACAGTGTAGCAAGTAAGTTAAGTGATTAAGCGATAGAAAAAGACGACATGAAACTTAACTCCTCCAATGTTGTTAGAGGTATATAGGGCACTGACAAACATATGCTGCCCTGCCTATCTTCTACCACCCTAAACCAATGCCAGCATCTCCTCCAAGGTACAATAAGTGTAAATATTTCTTATTTATAAAGTGTAAATAATTCTTATTTATAAATTATGTACATACATTGTTTGTGTGAATGGTGGTGGTAGCTCTGCTGCTGCCCGCTACCACTATGTACGGCTTATGCTCTCAGTGGCCCTTAAAAACCCAACAACAACACACCATCGCTCGCCACATACATAATGATAGCATCATATTTAAGCTTCCTTCGCCATTTTGCATACGCCAACAAGACTCTCCAATAAAGGTAAAAGTGATTTGAATGTTCATTTATCCATTTCATTAGTCATTTTATTTAGTTCTCATTGTTTTCTGTATGTAAAACTATAGTTAATCTTTAAAAAATGTATTTTTTGTTAATATTTTTGGGTGTCTAAAACAGATTACAGTGGACCCCCAGTTTTTTGTAATTAATCCGTTCCACAGATAGTGACTAAACCTGAAACTGACGATTTCTGAATTAATTTTCCCCATAAGAAATAATGTGAATCCAACTAATCTGTTCCAGACACCTGAAAATATTAACAAAAATTATTTTTTTATAGATTAAATATAGATTTACACACAGAAAAGAATGTGAAATCGAGTATAAAACAATATCGAACTTACTTTTATTGAACACTTGTTGGTGTATGGAAGATGGGAGGAGGGGAGAGGGTTAGGGTGATGTTCCTTCACAAATGTTTGCACCTCACTCCACTTTGCACAAATGTCCTTAATCTTTGAAGAAGGCACCTTCCCTCTCTCTTTCTCCTCCTCTGAAGCAATTTCCTCAGCTGGTGTACATAGGAACAAAAGAAAGCAGGAACACTGCAGTAGGCCTGTTGGCCCAAACTAGCCAGGTCCTTCACAAACCATCCCACTAACAGAATCGTATTTGCCCAACCCAATTTTCAATGCTTCCCAAGCAATAAGTTTTGATAATTCTATTCACTCATGTGCAAGTCCCACTCAAATCAAATTGTGTTTGTGGGGAAGTACCCTGTCTGGTGTGTGGGGAAGTACCCTGGCTGGTGTACATAAGAAAGCAGGAACACTGCAGCAGACTTGTTGGCCCATACTAGGCAGGTCCTTCACAAACCATTCCACTAAGAGAATCGTATTTGCGCAACCCAGTTTTCAATGCTTCCCAAGCAATAAGCTTTGATAATTCTATTCACTCATGTGCAAGTCACACTCAAATCAGATTGTATATATGGGGAAGTACCCTGTCTGGTATGTGGGGAAGTGCCCTGGCTGGTGTGTGTGGGGAAGTACCCTGGCTGGTGTACATAAGAAAGCAGGAACACTGCAGCAGACCTGTTGGCCCATACTAGGCAGGTCCTTCACAAACCATCCCACTAACAGAATATTTGTCCAACCCAATTTTCAATGCTACCCAAGCATTGGGTAGCACTCAGGCGCAAGTCCTACTCAAATCAAATTGTGTGGGGGGGAGAAGTACCCCCTCTGGTGTGTGGGGGAAGTACCCTGGCTGGTGTGTTCTTTCCTGAATTCTATCGTGTTTATCGCCTTCTTTACCAAAGATCTGGCACTAGGAGCTTTCTTTTGGCCCATGGTGGCTTATTTAGCAGTTGTAAGCACTAAAAAGAATGGAATAATACAAAATGTATCATATGAACACGTGGGATTGTCTCACTGGCTGATAAACAATGGCACGCTGGCTGTAAATGGTGTCAGCGCGCAGACACGTTCGGGACGAATTACTAATACCGAGTTCAATGACAGTCACCAAGCCAATATATAGGTGAAAAAACATTACTTATTCCTAATATTATGAAATAAAGTAAGAACATAAGAGAGGAGGAACACTACAGTAGGCCTGTTAGCCCATACTAGGCAGGTCCTTCACAATCCATCCCACTAACAGAATATTTGCCCAACTCAGTTTTCAATTCTACCCAAGGAACAAGCTGATAATTCTATTAACTCATGTGCAAGTCCCACTTAAATCCAACCCCTCTCACTCATGTATCCATCCAACCTAAATTTGAAACTACCCAAGGTCTTAGCCTCAATAACCCCACTAGGCAAACAGTTCCACTCATCAACTACCCTATTTCCAAACTAATACTTTCCTATATCCTTTCTAAATCTAAACTTGTCTAATTTGAATTCATTATTGTGGGTTCTCTCTTGGAGAGAGATCCTCAAGACCTTATTAATATCCCCTTTATTAATACCCATCTTCCACTCGTACACTTCGATCATGTCTCCACTCATTCTTCGTCTTGCAAGTGAATGTAATTTAAGGGACTTCAATCTCTCTTCACATGGAAGATTTCTAATGCAATGAATTAATTTTGTCATTTGTCGCTGCATGTTTTCTAACGATTTTATATCCATTCTGTAAAATGGAGACCAGAAGTGAGCTGCATAATCTAGGTGAGGCCTTACTAATGACGTACAAAGCTGAAGTATAACTGCTGGATTTCTGTTGCTTACACTTCTTGATATAAATCCCAGCAATCTATTTGCCTTATTATGCAAGCTTGGGCACTGCTGCCTTGGTTTAAGGTTGCTGCTTACCATAACCCCCAAATTCTTTTCGCATTCTATATGGCTAAGTTCAACATTATTAAGCTGGTTCGTAATCCGGGGGTCGACTGTAATTGGATTTACATTAATTCTTATGGGAAACATTATTTCAGTTATTGCCATTTCGCTTTTAGGTTGACCTTCTGGAATGGATTACGGCCGATAACCGAGGGTCCACTGTACATACCATATTTCATGGCTTATTAGATGCATTTTTTTCCATAAAAAATCTCCAAAAACCACCCTGCAGCCTATAAACTGAAATTCAGTGACAGGAGCTATAAATTTGGGGTGTGGGGTGGGCTGTAGCTCTCCCAGTTATGTTCGATGCCGAGCCATTGAAACTAAAAACAAGTCCAGTGTTTCAAAATTTCAGTAAATTAATGTTTTGAGACAAGCTATTTATGAAATACAGATACTATACTAGGATACTGACAGAAAACAAAATTCCTCCTTAAGTAACACCTTCCTTTCTAATTTCTTAAACTACTGAAGTCACAAAGCAGCGTCATTTATAGTGGGCACTTTAAAATAATGCTACAGTATACTACTGCTATCGTTAGCACATGCTAGGTATTTTCACTTTATTACTAGGTACCGGTAATCACATTTACTGTATGTTATGGTACTTATAGTGTTAAATATTGCCAAGCAAATACGGTGGCCCAACAATAGCTGAAGCAGCCATTTTTGTTTACACCGATAGTCACTGACAAAGACGCATCAGTATGTACTCTGGGACCCCTCAGTATATAGAGTTATGCACACAGCAGCAACTCAGCCACCAGCGACTGTTTCACCAGTTCAAATTGAGAGATCATCGGGGTGTTCAGGTGAGCACTAGGCCTATCGTATGTTTTGACCTACCCATAAATCAAACATAACCTTATTTCTGCATGTAAAATTACCATAGGTTTCAGTGGAGTAAATATTACTTGGTATTAGGCACTCTAACTTTTTTTTCTGATTATTACCGTCTAAACTGGGATACATCTAATGTATCAGAGCGTCTCATAAGCCACGAAATACGGTACATATACATACATAAATCTGTATTGGAGGGGTAGGGATCATCCTAGGAAAGGATGGAGGGATAGGGTAAAGAAGGTTTTATGTGCAAGAGACTTGGACATGCAGCAGGCTTGTGTATGTCAGATAGGAGTGAATGGAGACGAATGGGGGACCTGACAAGCTATTGGAATGTGAGCAGGGTAATGTTTTGTGAAGGGATTCAGGGAAACTGGTTAGGTAGGCTTGAGTGATGGAGATGGGAAGTACACTACCTGTACGTACTTTAAAGGAGGGGGTTTGGGATATTGGCTGTTCGGAGTGACAACTAAACTGTTGCATCTGAGTGCCTCTGCAAAGACAGCGATTATGTGTGAATGATGGTGAAAGTCTTTTTTGGGTCACCCTGCCTTGGTGGGAGATGGCCGATATGTTGAAAAAAAAAAAGTACTTACTGTATTGTACATATAATGAATTAAATAATTTTTACAATAAGTAAAAACTACTTATGGTCTAAATAATTACTATTCTTATCTTATGCATGAAATGAATTTATGACAACCTTAAGCCAATATACTATATAAACAAACTTGAACAAGACCACTGCTGGATCAGTTTGTATTGTCCTGCCATATGCCATCCTTTTAAGCCTCAAATAATCACATTGCCTCCAGTATATATTTTTTTCCGGACCTATATATTCCCTCTTTTACATCCACATATCATTCCACATTCATTTATGTGTCTGCAGGCCTTAGTAGTATTTGCTCTTCAAGGTTCATTCATGCAAACCTGTGTGGGGGACCCACATTGCTTATATGATGTACACTATGAGGATGGGTAAGGTTTTGAGCGCTGCTCAATCAAGAAAAAATGAAGAGTGATAAACAGAGAGGAGGAGCATACAAGTCACAAGCTTTATTCATGCTGATCTTTCACATTATGGTATGTTGTATTCCACAAGTACCATGAATGTATAAAGCTAACTTTTGCACTTAACACAATAAATGCAGGAACTATAGCTAATGAAAGCTATACTATTGCCTAGATTTAGAGAAACTAACATATATGAGGAATCAAGTGAGACAGCAAAGAAGTTACTGTTGAAATGTTTCAAGAAATATAAATTAATACCTGCTCAGTGAAATAATGTACATGATATACCATATCATAGTCATCAAAAGACCATCTAGAAACCTTTAAATTACAGTATACATATACAGTAATTGACTTGTAAATAAAATTCATATTGTGCAAACTAACTTGATTAGTTCATAAGTTGCATACCTATTCACATCCATTTACTTTTTTTAAATTGCAATTTATGAAATTTATTCCCAATATTTTTAATTTGTGAAGTATAAGTATTCATATGTTTTCCATCACCTGAATGGAAGTGACAAGATGTGACCAAGATATGCAAGTTTACAGCCGTGCTTCACTGCACTACCTATGATCTGCCTCTTTGTATCTTATAAGAAAAAGCTGCCCTACATATGAAAATACAAGTATATTATTAAATAGTGATCTTTTACAAATCATCCTCACATACCACATAATATCAATTATGATATAATTTTCTTGTAATTTATTTGTTACTTGATAAAACTTTTCAATTTTTTTAAACAAAGTTTTTAGTGCTAGATCCACCATGTTAGATAATAACACAGAGTGTATTTTATAATATTTTCTGGCTCTTACTTCACTGCTTGCTTTGACACAAGTTTCATTATAAAATCTTCGATTTCTTTGGTATCTACAAAGCATTTTCAACAACATGATACAAGTACTGACATCGATACAGTAACTAGGTAACACTAACAAACAACACTGAAAAGTTATGAGAATTCTAAAGAGATTACATGCTAAAAGTTCCTTGGAACCCACAAATAACATTAAGATATCAATTAAGCCTTCTACATGTCCACCTCTTCTCCTTTGACATTGTGGACTTGCTCTGCAACATAAATGACTTGAACAACGATGACAAAAACAAACCTTACCGCCCTGACCCATTCCTGTTGTCATATTTTCACACAGGTGATACTGGACAGCGGCGACGTAGTAAGGTTTGTATCCTGTGGATCAGTGGAATCGATACTGTTTCCCAGGTTTTAGGTGCACATATGTCTTCTTCATATCAGTGGAGTCGTCCTTCTTTATTTCTGTATAACGCTCTCCCTTTATACTGACAACCTTGTTATCACGGTATCGGACCATCTTTTTTCCTTCCTGTAACAGAAATAAAATCAAGTGAAGTGTGAGGAGAAATACTGAATTTACTTATGTGCTAATAAAATGGATTTTCTTTTATGTATCTCCATTTTAATTTTTTAATTATTTTAACTTCAAATACAAGTGTAATTAACACTAGTCAATGGTATAAATAACCCACATGGACACTAAACAGCAATTAAAGCAAGCAAAGTAGCGCATTTCTCTGCCTCATGCTGAAACCTTCTTTCGTCTGCTGAAGGAGGCCTCAGAATGAAGCAAGAATATATATTATTTTATCAGATAATCTTTTTTTTTTTTTTTTCATAAATGTTGACCACTTTATTTATGCCATAACCAAACTAACATAAAAAAAAATTTTTTTTTTATTATCACACTGGCCGATTCCCACCGAGGCAGGGTGGCCCGAAAAAGAAAAACTTTCACCATCATTCACTCCATCACTGTCTTGCCAGAAGGGTGCTTTACACTACAGTTTTTAAACTGCAACATTAACACCCCTCCTTCAGAGTGCGGGCACTGTACTTCCCATCTCCAGGACTCAAGTCCGGCCTGCCGGTTTCCCTGAACCCCTTCATTAATGTTACTTTGCTCACACTCCAACAGCACGTCAAGTATTAAAAACCATTTGTCCCCATTCACTCCTATCAAACATGCTCTCGCATAACTGCTGGAAGTCCAAGCCCCTCGCACACAAAACCTCCTTTACCCCCTCTCTCCAACCTTTCCTAGGCCGACCCCTACCCCGCCTTCCTTCCACTACAGACTGATACACTCTTGAAGTCATTCTGTTTCGCTCCATTCTCTCTACATGTCCGAACCACCTCAACAACCCTTCCTCAGCCCTCTGGACAACAGTTTTGGTAATCTCGCACCTCCTCCTAACTTCCAAACTACGAATTCTCTGCATTATATTCACACCACACATGGCCCTCAGATATGACATCTCCACTGCCTCCAGCCTTCTCCTCGCTGCAACATTCATCACCCATGCTTCACACCCATATAAGAGCGTTGGTAAAACTATACTCTCATACATTCCCCTCTTTGCCTCCAAGGACAAAGTTCTTTGTCTCCACAGACTCCTAAGTGCACCACTCACTCTTTTCCCCTCATCAATTCTATGATTCACCTCATCTTTCATAGACCCATCCGCTGACACGTCCACTCCCAAATATCTGAATACATTCACCTCCTCCATACTCTCTCCCTCCAATCTGATATTCAATCTTTCATCACCTAATCTTTTTATCCTCATAACCTTACTCTTTCCTGTATTCACCTTTAATTTTCTTCTTTTGCACACCCTACCAAATTCATCCACCAATCTCTGCAACTTCTCTTCAGAATCTCCCAAGAGCACAGTGTCATCAGCAAAGAGCAGCTGTGACAACTCCCACTTTGTGTGTGATTCTTTATCTTTTAACTCCACGCCTCTTGCCAAGACCCTCGCATTTACTTCTCTTACAACCCCATCTATAAATATATTAAACAACCACGGTGACATCACACATCCCTGTCTAAGGCCTACTTTTACTGGGAAATAATTTCCCTCTTTCCTACATACTCTAACTTGAGCCTCACTATCCTCGTAAAAACTCTTCACTGCTTTCAGTAACCTACCTCCTACACCATACACTTGCAACATCTGCCACATTGCCCCCCTATCCACCCTGTCATATGCCTTTTCCAAATCCATAAATGCCAAAAGACCTCTTTAGCCTTATCTAAATACTGTTCACTTATATGTTTCACTGTAAACACCTGGTCCACACACCCCCTACCTTTCCTAAAGCCTCCTTGTTCATCTGCTATCCTATTCTCCATCTTACTCTTAATTCTTTCAATAATAACTCTACCATACACTTTACCAGGTATACTCAGCAGACTTATCCCCCTATAATTTTTGCACTCTCTTTTATCTCCTTTGCCTTTATACAAAGGAACTATGCATGCTCTCTGCCAATCCCTAGGTACCTTACCCTCTTCCATACATTTTTTAAATAATTGCACCAACCACTCCAAAACTATATCCCCACCTGCTTTTAACATTTCTATCTTTATCCCATCAATCCCGGCTGCCTTACCCCCTTTCATTTTACCTACTGCCTCACGAACTTCCCCCACACTCACAACTGGCTCTTCCTCACTCCTACAAGATGTTATTCCTCCTTGTCCTATACACGAAATCACAGCTTCCCTATCTTCATCAACATTCAACAATTCCTCAAAATATTCCCTCCATCTTCCCAATACCTCTAACTCTCCATTTAATAACTCTCCTCTCCTATTTTTAACTGACAAATCCATTTGTTCTCTAGGCTTCCTTAACTTGTTAATCTCACTCCAAAACTTTTTCTTATTTTCAACAAAATTTGTTGATAACATCTCACCCACTCTCTCATTTGCTCTCTTTTTACATTGCTTCACCACTCTCTTAACCTCTCTCTTTTTCTCCATATTCTCTTCCCTCCTTGCATCACTTCTACTTTGTAAAAACTTCTCATATGCTAACTTTTTCTCCCTTACTACTCTCTTTACACCATCACTCCACCAATCGCTCCTCTTCCCTCCCGCACCCACTTTCCTGTAACCACAAACTTCTGCTGAACACTCTAACACTACATTTTTAAACCTACCCCATACCTCTTCGACCCCATTGCCTATGCTCTCATTAGCCCATCTATCCTCCAATAGCTGTTTATATCTTACCCTAACTGCCTCCTCTTTTAGTTTATAAACCTTCACCTCTCTCTTCCCTGATGCTTCTATTCTCCTTGTATCCCATCTACCTTTTACTCTCAGTGTAGCTACAACTAGAAAGTGATCTGATATATCTGTGGCCCCTCTATAAACATGTACATCCTGAAGTCTACTCAACAGTCTTTTATCTACCAATACATAATCCAACAAACTACTGTCATTTCGCCCTACATCATATCTTGTATACTTATTTATCCTCTTTTTCTTAAAATATGTATTACCTATAACTAAACCCCTTTCTATACAAAGTTCAATCAAAGGGCTCCCATTATCATTTACACCTGGCACCCCAAACTTACCTACCACACCCTCTCTAAAAGTTTCTCCTACTTTAGCATTCAGGTCCCCTACCACAATTACTCTCTCACTTGGTTCAAAGGCTCCTATACATTCACTTAACATCTCCCAAAATCTCTCTCTCTCCTCTGCATTCCTCTCTTCTCCAGGTGCATACACGCTTATTATGACCCACTTCTCGCATCCAACCTTTACTTTAATCCACATAATTCTTGAATTTACACATTCATATTCTCTTTTCTCCTTCCATAACTGATCATTTAACATTACTGCTACCCCTTCCTTTGCTCTAACTCTCTCAGATACTCCAGATTTAATCCCATTTATTTCCCCCCACTGAAACTCCCCTACCCCCTTCAGCTTTGTTTTGCTTAGGGCCAGGACATCCAACTTCTTTTCATTCATAACATCAGCAATCATGTTTCTTGTCATCCGCACTACATCCACGCACATTTAAGCATCCCAGTTTTATAAAGTTTTTCTTCTTCTCTTTTTTAGTAAATGTCTACAGGAGAAGGGGTTACTAGCCCATTGCTCCCGGCATTTTAGTCGCCTCATACGACACGCATGGCTTATGGAGGAAAGATTCTTTTCCACTTCCCCATGGACAATAGAAGAAATAAAGAAATTTTATCTGAGGAATATTTGAGAAGCAGCTACACATTACCCCTTTGACTGTTTCAGTCGTATATATACGTCTTATGAGCCACCGTGTTTGATGTATATATACTCATAAATTCTAGTGGCTTCAAATCAAGCAGGAGAAAGCTGGTAGGCCCACATGAGAGAGAATGGATCTGTGTGGTCAATGTGCACCATATAAAGAAATCCTGCAGCAAGCAGTGCATAGAGGAAAAAAAAACTCCAACCTTTTTTTTTTTAATTAAAATGCCGAATTTGTCGTCTATTTTCGTATAGTATTTATGGTTGTATTCTCGTTTTCTTGGTCTCATTTGATAGAATGGAAAACATATTATAGAAATAGAGGTGATTTTGCTATGAAAAGAACCTTGAAATGGAGCTCAAAGTAGGGGAAATGTTTGATTTTTGCCGATGTTCAAAAGTAAACAAATGATGTCATTTTCCAATAAATGTCCAAGCAGCCATTATAATATGCAGTGATGAATGGGTTGACATTATTTATACAATTATTACAATATTGCAGTAGTCTGCATAACAGTAAATCTTCTATTTTTTGTTTGAATAAAAATTCAAAATAGAAAGCAAGAGTAATATCAGAGGGGCCTGGAGACATGACTGATGAACAAAGAAAATGTTATTTTAGAGCCAGAAATGTCTGCATTGTTCATTCAGGACCCTATTTTGAAATTGTCATATTTTTTTAATTTTCGTGAAGTTGGCCAAATTGCAAATTTCTGACCACGTTACTAGGTAGTTGAAATTGATAAATGGGCAGTTTCTTGTACTCAATTGATAGAAAAAATGGAGTTCTAAAGAAATAGCTATGAGTTTGGTCGACTGGAACAATGGAATTAGCTGAAAATAGGGCTCAATTTGGGCGAAATCGCCGATTCGTAAATATCGCTGAGGTCGCTAACTTTGTGAGAGCGTAATTCTGTCAGTTTTCCATCGGATTTCTTTCTTTTGGTGTCATTACAATTGGGAAAAGATTCTCTATCATTCCATAAGAAAAAACATTTTTTTTTTTTCCAGAAATTTTGCGACACCAGGAGACGCCTCAGGATTTGGGGTTGCGACAGTCAAGGGGTTAATGAAGATGTCTTAACTATAAAAACATTACTGTTTTGTTTATTTATATATAGTAGAATCCCATTTACCACAAATCCAGCAAATGTGATTTGGTAAACAATACCAAAAAGTTCATGAATAAGACGTGCAATATCCGTGTGTCTTTATTGGTGAGAGATTTTTTCTGTTTAATACAGCAGTATCTTTTATACTAGAGATGTGTAGAG